TTAGCGAAATAGAAACAGTGACTTCAGTGTTCACGAATGGTGTTTCAAAGTAACAGGACATTGGGTCCTGTAAAGTTTCAGATGTCTGTCTGAACCATTGAAACTTAACAGGACCCATAGAATAATATTAAGCACACATTTCAGATTTATCATTTCTTATAATTGGCATTGAAATTATTAACAAACATAAGATTTATAAACAGCAAACAAGTGTCACATGTCACATATAACATATAACAACTCAGTCAAAGTCATTGTGAAGCATACACTCAGACAATGGGGCTGGCGGTTTGTAGACTTCTATCTGACCGTTGGCAAATCTGCCAGATTTGTCAGAGGGTCAGACACTATTGGTGAACACTGTGACTTACATTCCCGATGTTGACATGACGCAATTTGATACAATAATGCATAAGATGAGATCAGTCAAGTCATCAATCTGATGACCCGACCTGTTGGGCTGTTCTTACCTGGAATCTCCCACAGGTAACATGGCCATTATCTAGCAGTGGTGATCACTAGCTACAGCTACAGTTGGTGAGAAACTACAGGTACCACTTAGTCAAGAGGACAGTGATAACCCTGATCAGTTGTCAACAGTGAACAAGTGGTACGTAGGCTATTGCTTTGTCTGACTCCTACAAAGTATAGAATATGCTAAAAAAGGAATCCTTCTCAAGTCCATAATGATTTGGCAAGTCAAGATTGTTTCACCTGTAGGCTGAATTAGAATTGCTCTAGGTTCCATTTGAATGTTACTGTTTATTTTGTGGATATATTTTACAGTTAGATAACCTTATTTCTGGGACTGAATGTTAGCCTGACTTTTGCTATAAGCGTGATTTTCCTGGAATTGTTTTCTTCATATTTTACTCATAATACAGTTTTTATTTCATTAGTCATGCGTATTCTAGCTCAAATGAGGTTGGGCAAGGGCTCAGATGAGATGCCAGCAACGAGAACGTTCATGTATAACATAAACTGCTTTGGATTTGTTGATCAAAAGAAACATTTGGAAAATAATTTGAAACGTCTGTCTAGGTTTGAAGAGCTAATAATCCTGTTTCAACAAGATATATAAAGCAACAGTTTCACTTTTAAGAAGTCTGCAATTTAAAACAAATTGTTACCTATCATGATGATAAAATGAATGTACCAGCACTATCAAATGACCGCAGTTCTAAGGCCTTGTAATCAGAATGTCAACATGACTGTTTGGGCCTGGGCTCTGCCCTCAGCGAGTACAAGGAAAGTGCAGCAGATAAAGGTGAGGGTTGACATGTTAATGTGCGACATGAGATCTGGAATGGCTGAAGTGCAAAGCAGTCACGACAAATATTTTTATTGCAGTGGTAATCACGAACACAAGGTGTCACATTTGAAATAATAGCTAAAATAGAAATTATCCGTGAGAAATAAAACAAATTGAAGCATGATAATGTGATGTGGGAAACCGCTCTTGTAGCAAGTGGATAGACAGATTGGTGATTTCTGTGAAGTAAGAGTACAGTAAGTTCTAAAGAAGAGATATTTCATATCATTATTTATGTCCAAGTGATACAAGGGACTAGGGATGCAGTTTTTATGCCATGTTTTCTGTTTATGTCTGACAGTGTTCCTGATAATGTTTTGAGCTGTGGAGTATTGACTCACCAGGTATTATTTACATGAGGTGTTGATAGGGTTGGGGTTTTTTAGACTTCAGTATATTTTTACTCCCTCCCTTGTGATCGGTCTGTGGGTATTTTGTTAACATTTTAAGAATAATCATGCTTAAATACTGTTTGACTTCTAATTTGTATACCCATAAAGGTCCGGGTTAGAATATTGATCTTCAGTAACCCATGCTTGTCGTAAGAGGCGACTAACGGGATCGGGTGGTCAGGCTCGCTGACTTGGTTGACACATGTCATTGGTTCCAATTGCACAGATCGATGCTCATGTTGTTGATCATTGGATTGTCTGGTCCAGATTCGATTATTTACAGACCGCCGCCATATAACTGGAATATTGCAGAGTGCAGCGTAAAACTAAACTCACTCACTCTAATTATATGCTGTTCCATGGGTAACATGTCACATGATTTCACAACAGCAATATAATTGTCTGATTAACAATATGTAAGACATTGAGCATTTTGTACACACTATTCACAACAGTAGATGCCAGATATGAGTGGTGCCTGTGCTGGATAAGTACATGTATATATAGATATATATAGTAATTAGGTATGCAAGTTGAAAAGGCTGCATTGGGTAGTTGCACAATGTGTTATTATACTTGTACATTATTAAAAATGTTCTTCATAAATGTATGCTGCAAATACAATATTTTAATATTGGTGATTTATTTTTCTTATTTTACACAAATATGCAGTTTAAATGGCTCTCTTACCTTTGTAATGTTTTAATATCTGTAAGGCTTTTGTCATCGTCACCATCAAACACTGACTATTAGAAGAAGTAAAAAATAGAAGAATCATGAAAGAACTCACTGTGTAAGACTGGTAGATTAAGTCTATGGGATCAGCGAAGTCTATGGGATCACACGTTGAGTCTGCAGTGAGTACTGATGGCTCCTGTGGTGCGTGCATCGTTTTCATCGTAACCTGTGTATTTACTGCCCTTGACAAATGGTGTATATTAAAATCATAAACATGAAGTTGCATTTATCAAAGAATGACCTGTACAAACAGGTCATTCTTTGATAAATTCAACTTCGTGTTGAATTTAAGTTCAAGTATCAGTGAAACTAATTTTGATGACACTTATTTGTCAGTTAATTGTAAAGGGAAGTGCTGGGTCCGAAATACGTGAAACTTCTTTTCAATATGAAGTTGGTTGTTTCTACCAAAATCTTATATAGAGATTAAGCCTTAGTATTACATGTTGTAAGTGTGCTGAGCCTCAAATGACCAGGGACGGTGGGGTAGCCTAGTGGTTAAAGTGTTTGCCTGTTTCGCCAAAGATCCAGGTTCAGTTCCCCACATGGGTACAATGTGTGAAGCCCATTTCTTGTGTCCCACGTTGTAATATTGCTGGAATATTGCTAAAAGGGGCGTCAAACTAAACTCACTCACCAAAATGCCCCAAGACTTTCCCACATTCCCATTCATCAGTGTGTTCTGTAAGGAATGTGTTGTGTTTTTCAAATTTAGTCAAACCATGATCTTTTTGTATTCAGATAATGAATACTGACAGTTGTTTGTGTCGAGTGACTGTCAACACTGAGATTACTCTAGTGATATGGCTGAGTTACCGTCATGTTGTAGGGGGTTAGAGGGGCACTGTGGGACTGTGGCACAGAAATAAAGTTCCTGGGGTCTGGAGGGAGGTGGGGTTTGTGCTTTTGATTGATACACAATTTTATTCTGTCACTGTCTCAAGACAATTTTTTCTGTTAAAGGAAGATAAAAAAAAATATTAAAAAATTTTCATTCCACTTTTTCTTCAGAACATCAATCAGTGGGCCCAGCATGCCCAGCCAAATGTTTAAACTTACAAATTCTTTTTTCCTCAGTTAGTTCACAAAGACCTTGTTTCTGAAAAAAGTCCCCTGTACTGCCAACGTGACCAGAATAACGAATGATTGTTTCCTAATAATAGCACTCAGAATTATTTTTCATGAGTATGTTTTTACTCTCTGAAATCTCTGTTCTATTGAGTTGAAAGAATCATTATTGAATGCCACCATGAAAGAGTTCTAAAGGGCAACAAAGAATAGGTCTTGAATGACATTGATTGTAGTTATTGATTTGAAAGAGGAATAGCTTGAGGCTGGTTATCAGTGCAATCAAAGCCCTCAGCATGCTCAATATCCACTTTGTTACATTCCAACACTAGTTGTGTAATGCACGGGAGTCTCCTAGTCATACAGAAACAATGTCTCAGTCACACAAATGGCACGAATATGTGTGTGAAGCTTGTCTCAGTATGTGACATGGATTGCACAGCGTTGTGCCTGTTGTGAGCAGAGGCTACAGTAGTTTGCTGTGCAGGAATGCTTCACTTAGGTGTGCCAGATGGCGGATTTGACATTTCTGCATCACTTTGGGCTTTCCACCCACATAAAGCTTACATGCTGTGATTTGTATGTCATATTGTTCAAAATGGCATTCAACCAAACCTATAGAGGCATTTACTCCACTCACTCACTCACAAACCCAAAGTAGCATTTACCTCACTCATTCTCACTCACTCACTCACTCACTCACTCACTCACTCACTCACTCACTCACTCACTCACACTCACTCATCCTCACTCACTCACTCACTCACTCACTCACTCACCCTCACCTCACTCCTCACTCACCCTCTCTCACCCTCTCACTCACTCACTCCTCCACTCACTCACTCACTCACCCTCACTCACTCACTCACCCTCACTCCTCACTCACCCTCACTCAATCAATCAATCAATCAATCAATCAATCAATCACTCACAAGGGAATTGACTACATGTAAGAGTTGTACAATCACTGAAGATGTGTCACACGTGTACCATCACTGAAGATGTGTCACACGTCAGTTTTATAAATATGAGGGTGTCTGGATAGCGATGTGTATACTACCACAGGGAGAAATAGTCTGTTCCTGGTCTCAGGGAAATACAGCCAGGGGTGATCAGCACAGCACAGTTGAGCTTGCAGTGTATACAGGGTGTAATGGTACTGCTCATTGTGGTCGGTTATGGTAATAAGAATAAGTTTTAAGAATATTTTTGAGACTTGTGTGATTGTGTTTCATTGTACACAGTGGTATGAGACATTGCTCATAATATGGAAAATCACTTTGTCTCTTCTAGGTGTGATAACCTTTTGGATAAAGTATTTGCTTGTCACACCAAAGACCCAGGTTCGATTTCCCTGCCCTCATAGGTACAATGTGTGAAGGCCATTTCTTGTGTCCCCACCATGATTTTGCTGGAATATTGATAAAAGCAGCATAAAACCGCTCACCACTCACCAGATGAAACACTCAGTGTTACGTTTCTTGTTTCAGATGTTGACAAGGTAAAACAGATGAAGCTGGTCCATTGCTTGTACATCCAGCAGTAGCTGCCCAACCATGGTGTCCTGAATCATCCTCGTCTTCTCACCTGGGTCACACAGCAACCGCCACCATGTTGATCAAGGAGTACCGGATCTCCCTCCCTATGAGCGTGGAGGAGTACAGGATAGCTCAGCTCTATATGATCCAGGTAAGTCGTCAGCCTTTTCACATTGAATGGTATTACCTACTTTGAGGTTTTATAAGGCCAGACCAAGTTTATTTCTTGTTTTATAGATTTTTGTCCTTAGAAAACCTAAAGGCAGGAGGGAAAAAAATAAAAAATAAAAATCACCAGTCAAAGTAATATTCCTTTTAAATACTAAAAGTATTTTATTGTTGGCAATTTATGAAGTGTATATGGGGCAAAAAAACCAATAAAAAAATATTTGTTGTTGTAAGTTTACATTTTTGACCAATAAAAACATGAGGATTCAGTCTTTGAGTGCGGAAAATTAAATTTTCTTTCTTTTCTTATTCTTGATAAACTACGACCAGCGGATCCATAAAACAACAAATAAAATTGGTTTGGCCCGAAGAAAATAAAACCAAGTTCAACCTCACTTGTCATGTTTACTATTGTTACCCAGTGTTTTATATATCTCTAGGTTTTTTATATATCTCTAGGTTTTTTTCTTTCTGATATTTGTTCCATTTAGACTGTTCATACGTTTGCACAAAGTTTTACATTTACAACCAATACTAAGGTGGACAGTTTCAACCATTACATAATAATGCATATGTATGTATCAACAGTTCCACTTTCTAGTGCTTGCTCAGTTTGTGCAAGGGGCTGCACAGTGAACTTATGTCCAATATATTAGATGAGGGAAACAACAGTAGTTACAGGGTGTAATACACAGACATTGTTAAAGTCTGGATTAGAGTGTGTCCACATTCAGGGGTTCAAAAATCCCATCGCCCGATGCCTGGGACAAGTCAATTTTTCATTTCGGGCAATCAAATAATGGTATCTTACTTGTCTGTGGGCTACTAGATAATTTCCACTTATGGTTTCAAACTGCAAATAAACTTGGATTTAATTTCATATCTGCTCAAAATGTAGCTATTAAATTTTCCCAATGATAACAAACAAGTGTCACATGTCACATAAAACAACTTCAGTCAAAGTCATTGTGAAATATAGTCAGACACTGGGGCCGGCGGGTTGTAGACTTCTATCGGACCGTTGGCAAATCTGCCCGATTTGTCAGAGGGTCAGACGCTATTCGTGAACACTGTGATAATAAAGTAGAGTTATCTTTCTTTGTTATTTATCACTTTTCAATAAATAGTCCAGTAGACATTAACATCAAATACCATGTTGATTGATTCTTTCATCATTACATCATCATAATTATGTCATAAAATCAGGGCAAGTGGAAAATTAGTCAGGACAAGTTACTTTCTTAAAGTCACTTGCCCTGTGGCAAGTGGCTTTTTAAAAATTTGAACCCCTGACATTGTCAGTGTCTGTTGTGCTGTGTGGAAGATTATTCCATGAAACAGGAGCTGTACTGGACCATGACTTCAGTGATTAAATGAGTGAGTGAGTGAGTAAGTAAGTGTGGTTTTATGCCACTTTTAGCAATACTCCAGGAATACCATGATGGGGGAAACACATTCACACATTGTACCCATGTTGGGAGTGGAACCCAGTCTTCAGTATGACAAGAAAAAGCTTTATCTACTTGGCTACCCCATCACTAAATGAGGTGGAACAGGCAAGTGATGTTTATGACTGGAAGTCACTCGTTGGCACATGGGGATGGATAAATGCAGATAAGAAGGTGTCAGTCCATGAAGCGATTTATATGTCAAGCAGAGAATGTTGAAGTGAGGACGGGCTGTCAGGTAGCCAGAGTAGACTCTGAGCCCAGGTGTAATATACTCATCTTAATGATCTCCTAATGATGCATGCAGCTGTGTTCTATACGGTCTGTAGCTTGTCAATGAGCTTAAGACAGAAGGTGGATGGGATGCTGCTGCAATAGTTGAGTCTAGCCGTAATGAGAGCACAAACAAGTGCATGTGTGGCTTTGGTAGAATGAAGCTGCCGGATTGTACCGTCAGCCCAGAAGTGGAAGGAACAGCTTTGACTCAGACAGTTTACTTGAGCCTCCATGGATAAGCTGGCATCATTATATACTCCATGAGCTTGGAGTCAGATATATTGATAGTGGCATCTAGGACTGCTATGATCTCAGCTGTCACCTTCCCAAGCTGGTGTTTAAGTCCAGCCTGCCTTCATCTTACTGTCACAGAGTTTCAGCATGTTGGCTGACATCCAGGACTTAATGTCCTCTATGCATTCCTGATCTGAACCAGGGATCTGTGATCTGTGACTGGCATCCATAGCTGGTTGGTATTTAATGCCACACTCAGCAATAGTCCAGCAATATGGCAGCAGTCTGTGAATAGCCGAGTCTGGACCAGATAATCCAGGGATTAAGCATTGATCTAGGCAACTTGGATACAATGACATGTGTCAACCAAGTCAGTGAGCCTGACCAGTCGATCCTGTTAGTGGTCTCTTACAACAAGCATGGGTTGCTGAAGACCAATTCTAACCTGGATCTTCATGGGTAGGGATCCAGGATCTGTATACTCACACTGTCATCTGACTGTTGTCAACAAGACTTGCCCAGATCAACTACTGTGGCAGTCACTTACCAGAAGCTGGTGTATTGTGAAGGTCTCTTGTTGATGTTTGCTAGTCGTCCATCAGCCCTGATCAGCTACTGCGGCAGTCTCTCACCAGAAGCTGGTGTATAGTGAAGGTCTCTTGTTGATGTTTGCCAGCCGTCCATCACTGTATACCCACTGTTGTCAACAAGAGTTGCCCTGATCAGCTACTGTGGCAGTCTCTCACCAGAAGCTGGTGTATAGTGAAGGTCTCTTGTTGATGTTTGCTAGCCATCCATCACTGTATACCCACTGTTGTCAACAAGAGTTGCCCTGATCAGCTACTGCGGCAGTCTCTCACCAGAAGCTGGTGTATAGTGAAGGTCTTTTGTTGATGTTTGCTAGCCATCCATCACTGTATACCCACTGTTGTCAACAAGAGTTGCCCTGATCAGCTACTGTGGCAGTCTCTCACCAGAAGCTGGTGTATAGTGAAGGTCTCTTGTTGATGTTTGCCAGTCGTCCATAACTGTATACCCACTGTTGTCAACAAGACTTGCCCTGATCAGCTACTGTGGCAGTCTCTCACCAGAAGCTGGTGTATAGTGAAGGTCTCTTGTTTGCCAGTCGTCCATCACTGTATACCCACTGTTGTCAACAAGAGTTGCCCTGATCAGCTACTGTGGCAGTCTCTCACCAGAAGCTGGTGTATAGTGAAGGTCTCTTGTTGATGTTTGCCAGCCGTCCATCACTGTATACCCACTGTTGTCAACAAGAGTTGCCCTGATCAGCTACTGTGGCAGTCTCTCACCAGAAGCTGGTGTATAGTGAAGGCCTCTTGTTTGCCAGTCGTCCATCACTGTATACCCACTGTTGTCAACAAGACTTGCCCTGATCAGCTACTGTGGCAGTCTCTCACCAGAAGCTGGTGTATAGTGAAGGTCTCTTGTTGATGTTTGCCAGCCGTCCATCACTGTATACCCACTGTTGTCAACAAGAGTTGCCCTGATCAGCTACTGTGGCAGTCTCTCACCAGAAGGTGGTGTATAGTGAAGGTCTCTTGTTGATGTTTGCCAGCCGTCCATCACTGTATACCCACTGTTGTCAACAAGAGTTGCCCTGATCAGCTACTGTGGCAGTCTCTAAACAGAAGCTTGTGTATAGTGAAGGTCTCTTGTTTGCCAGTCGTCCATCACTGTATACCCACTGTTGTCAACAAGACTTGCCCTGATCAGCTACTGTGGCAGTCTCTCACCAGAAGCTGGTGTATAGTGAAGGTCTCTTGTTTGCCAGTCGTCCATCACTGTATACCCACTGTTGTCAACAAGAGTTGCCCTGATCAGCTACTGTGGCAGTCTCTCACCAGAAGCTGGTGTATAGTGAAGGTCTCTTGTTGATGTTTGCCAGCCGTCCATCACTGTATACCCACTGTTGTCAACAAGAGTTGCCCTGATCAGCTACTGTGGCAGTCTCTCACCAGAAGCTTGTGTATAGTGAAGGCCTCTTGTTTACCAGTCGTCCATCACTGTATACCCACTGTTGTCAACAAGACTTGCCCTGATCAGCTACTGTGGCAGTCTCTCACCAGAAGCTGGTGTATAGTGAAGGTCTCTTGTTGATGTTTGCCAGCCGTCCATCACTGTATACCCACTGTTTTCAACAAGAGTTGCCCTGATCAGCTACTGTGGCAGTCTCTCACCAGAAGCTGGTGTATAGTGAAGGTCTCTTGTTGATGTTTGCCAGCCGTCCATCACTGTATACCCACTGTTGTCAACAAGACTTGCCCTGATCAGCTACTGTGGCAGTCTCTCACCAGAAGCTGGTGTATAGTGAAGGTCTCTTGTTGATGTTTGCTAGCCGTCCATCACTGTATACCCACTGTTGTCAACAAGACTTGCCCTGATCAGCTACTGTGGCAGTCTCTCACCAGAAGCTGGTGTATAGTGAAGGTCTCTTGTTGATGTTTGCCAGCCGTCCATCACTGTATACCCACTGTTGTCAACAAGACTTGCCCTGATCAGCTACTGTGGCAGTCTCTCACCAGAAGCTGGTGTATATTGAAGGTCTCTTGTTTGCCAGCCGTCCATCACTGTATACCCTGTTGTCAACAAGAGTTGCCCTGATCAGCTACTGTGGCAGTCTCTCACCAGAAGCTGCGGTGTATAGTGAAGGTCTCTTGTTGATGTTTGCCAGCCGTCCATCACTGTATACCCACTGTTGTCAACAAGACTTGCCCTGATCAGCTACTGTGGCAGTCTCTAAACAGAAGCTTGTGTATAGTGAAGGTCTCTTGTTTGCCAGCCGTCCATCACTGTATACCCACTGTTGTCAACAAGACTTGCCCTGATCAGCTACTGTGGCAGTCTCTCACCAGAAGCTGGTGTATAGTGAAGGTCTCTTGTTGATGTTTGTGGGTCCATCACTGTATACCCACTGTTGTCAACAAGAGTTGCCCTGATCAGCTACTGTGGCAGTCTCTCACCAGAAGCTGGTGTATAGTGAAGGTCTCTTGTTGATGTTTGCCAG